TAGCGTGTATGTACTAGCATGTGATTGGTCTGATGAGGGGCTGGTGTGGAGTACGTCAGATGATAGCGTGTATGTACTAGCATGTGATTGGTCTGATGAGGGGAGGGTGTGGAGTACGTCAGATGATAAGCGTGTATGTACTAACATGTGATTGGTCTGATGAGGGGGGCTGGTGTGGAGTACGTCAGATGATAGCGTGTATGTACTAGCATGTGATTGGTCTGATGAGGGGGGTGTGGAGTACGTCAGATGATAGCGTGTATGTACTAGCATGTGATTGGTCTGATGAGGGTGGCTGGTGTGGAGTACGTCAGATGATAGCGTGTATGTACTAGCATGTGATTGGTCTGATGATTGGGGCTGGTGTGGAGTACGTCAGATGATAGCGTGTATGTACTAGCATGTGATTGGTCTGATGAGGGGGCTGGTGTGGAGTACGTCAGATGATAGCGTGTTTGTACTAGCATGTGATTGGTCTGATGAGGGGGGCTGGTGTGGAATACGTCAGATGATAGCGTGTATGTACTAGCATGTGATTGGTCTGATGAGGGGCTGGTGTGGAGTACGTCAGAGGATAGCGTGTATGTACTAGCATGTGATTGATCTGATGAGGGGGGCTGGTATGGAGTACGTCAGACGATAGCGTGTATGTACTAGCATGTGATTGGTCTGATGAGGGGGGCTGGTGTGGAGTACGTCAGATGATAGCGTGTATTTACTAGCATGTGATTGGTCTGATGAGGGGGGGCTGGTGTGGAGTACGTCAGATGATAGCGTGTATGTACTAGCATGTGATTGGTCTCATGAGGGGACTGGTGTGGAGTACGTCAGATGATAGCGTGTATGTACTAGCATGTGATTGGTCTGATGAGGGGGCTGGTGTGGAGTACGTCAGATGATAGCGTGTATTTACTAGCATGTGATTGGTCTGATGAGGGGGGCTGGTGTGGAGTACGTCAGAGGATAGCGTGTATGTACTAGCATGTGATTGGTCTGATGAGGGGGCTGGTGTGGAGTACGTCAGAGGATAGCGTGTATGTACTAGCATGTGATTGATCTGATGAGGGGGGCTGGTATGGAGTACGTCAGACGATGGCGTGTATGTACTAGCATGTGATTGGTCTGGTGAGAGGGGCTGGTGTGGAGTACGTCAGATGATAGTGTGTATTTACTAGCATGTGATTGGTCTGATGAGGGGGGGGCTGGGGGCTGGTGTGGAGTACGTCAAATGATAGCGTGTATGTACTAGCATGTGATTGGTCTGATGAGGGGCTGGTGTGGAGTACGTCAGATGATAGCGTGTATGTACTAGCATGTGATTGGTCTGATGAGGGGGCTGGTGTGGAGTACGTCAGATGATAGCGTGTATGTACTAGCATGTGATTGGTCTGATGATTGGGGCTGGTGTGGTGTACGTCAGATGATAGCGTGTATGTACTAGCATGTGATTGGTCTGATGAGGGGGGGGGTGAGGCTGGTGTGGAGTACGTCAGATGATAGCGTGTATGTACTAGCATGTGATTGGTCTGATGATGGGAGGAGGAGGGCTGGTGTGGAGTACGTCAGATGATAGCGTGTATTTACTAGCATGTGATTGGTCTGGTGAGAGGGGCTGGTGTGGAGTACGTCAGATGATAGTGTGTATTTACTAGCATCAGATTGGTATGATGAGGGGAGCTGGTGTGGAGTACGTCAGATGATAGCGTGTATGTACTAGCATGTGATTGGTCTGATGGGGGGGGGGGTTTCGTGTGGAGCACGTCAGATGATAGCTTGTATGTACTAGCATGTGATTGGTCTGATGAGGGGGGCTGGTGGGGAGTACGTCAGATGATAGCGTGTATGTACTAGCATGTGATTGGTCTGATGATGGGGGAGGGGGTGCTGGTGTGGGAATACGTCAGATGATAGCGTGTATGTACTAGCATGTGATTGGTCTGATGAGGGGACTGGTGTGGAGAACGTCAGATGATAGCGTGAATGTACTAGCAAGTGATTGGTCTGATGGGGGCTGGGGTGAAGAACGTCAGATGATAGCGTGAATGTACTAACATGTGATTGGTCTGATGAGGGTTGGTGTGGAGTACGTCAGATGATAGCGGTATGTACTAGCATGTCATTGGTCTGATGAGGGGCTGGTGTGGAGTACGTCAGATGATGGCGTGTATGTACTAGCATGTGATTGGTCTGATGAGGGGGAGGGGCTGGTGTGGAATACGTCAGATGATAACGTGTATTTACAAGCATGTGATTAGTCTGATGGGGGGGCTGGTGTGGAGTACGTCAGATGATAGCGTGTATGTACTAACATGTGTTGGTCTGATGAGGGGAGGAGGGGAGGCTGGGGTGGAGAACGTCGGATGATAGCGTGAATGTACTAACATGTGATTGGTCTGATAAGGGGGGGGGAGGGGGGCTGGTGTGGAGTACGTCAGATGATAGCGTGTATGTACTAGCTTGTGATTGGTCTGATAAGGGGGGCTGGTGTGGAGTACGTCAGATGATAGCGTGTATGTTCTAGCATGTGATTGGTCTGATGAGGGTGGCTGGTGTGGAGTACGTCAGATGATTGCGTGTATTAGTAGCATGTGATTAGTTGACTACATTGTGTGTTGCATGTATGGGTGAGCATGTGGTAGTTCCTGTATGCGATCGATCATGTTTGTGATGTTTCAGGCTAATCCCTGTCTGTGATAGGTCACGTGTACTCTCTAAAACAAGTATGGATGAGAATAAGCTATATCGAATTTGCTGTCTGATGTGGGCCTACACTACTGTCTGGTTGAAGTATGCACACTATGGGTGTGGCAAACGTAACGTGGTTTAGTATTGAAATAACATTTCTGTGTCCTGGTGAAGGGTGTATCAAGTATACGTATGAATGTGATGTATTGTATATTCGTTATGTTGTGTGTATCAAGTATCAGTGCGTATGTGATAGGTGCAGTTTTGTGCTGGGTCGATTGAGGAAGGGGTGTGGGAACTCGACCTGAAAGGTATATATCTGTGTTATAATCGTTTCATTTTGGTGTTTCGACGCGTTGTGAACGAAATGGAGAATAGATCAGCAGGGCGCGGTATATTGGCATCAGTGTTGATATATGGTTTGAACTACTTCATCCGTCATCCTTAGTGTATATGAATTCGAGTGAGTGAGTGAGTTTAGTTTTACGCCGCACTCAGCAATATTCCAGCTATATGGCGGCGGTCTGTAAATAATCGAATCTGGACCAGACAATCCAGTGATCAACAGCATGAGCATCGATCTGCACAATTGGGAACCGATGACATGTGTCAACCAAGTATGAATTTGAGGAAATGTTTCTTTATCGCTGTAATAAATAAGAAAACTACTATTTATTTACATAACCAGACCAAATCAATGGTTAACAAGGATAATAGACAAACTTTATACAAGGAACATTTACAAAAGAAGGTGAAACAGGGAAGTGTAATTCAGAAACATTCAACAAGGAAGTTTTTAAACACAAACACTTTCGTGAGCGGTGTAAGATTTAACTCATATTAACAATACACGACTAGAGCATGTCTTGGCTGCAGGTTTTGATAGGACAATAGGGTCCTATCACGGTAATATAATCGCTATTGAAATATGCCTTGGCACACTGCCAATCGAGATTGCACAATGCCGTCTACCTATACCCATTTACGCTACTTGATATACATAAAAGGCAAAGTGTATTGGGTTTCTTCTTAGCCAGTGTTTATGTTGCTGATTGATTGTTCTCATGCGTCAGCGGTTGTATGGCTTGTTGTGTTTGTCAAACCCAATATCCATAAAGTTTGTTCTATATTGCAAACCCCAGGAGTTGAAATTACAACTCGATTGATATCGACGTATGGGTTAGCGTCTGTAGTCGTCCATATCAGCAATGTTTGACTAAACCAATAAATGAGCGAGTTAAATTTATAGACACAGCTTTGAGTCTTTGTGTCTTACAAAAAAAAACAGTCGTGCAGAAATGGACTTCAGCAACCCATGCTTGTCGTAAGAGGCGACTAACGGGATCGGGTTGTCAAGCTCGCTGACTTGGTTGGCACATGTCACCATAACCCATAAATTTTCGTACATCGACGCTCATGTTGTTTTACACCGGATCGTCTGGTCAAGACTCGATTATTTACAAACCGGGTATTGCTGGAATTTTGCTGAGTGCCGCGCTATAACAACAAAAGCAAGCAAACAAACAAACAAACGAATCGCGTGTTATCAGTGTAAGCAATATGCTTGTATGTGTATGTAAGTGGCGGGTAATGAAGCTGTCTTGAGACCTATTGCGTGGCTGAACGTATCGATGTCCTTTAACAGGATGTACGTGCACCAATACAATTCACAGTGAGTGATATATTTAACGCATAAATTATAGGGATTATACATGTTGTTAGTACGTACTTGAGGAATGAATCACATTCGCATGTACAATGTCTTTCTTGGAGACGAATACAACTCGGTTTGAAATTACACTTTAGTACCATATTACTCGTAGTTTGAAATTAACTCATCTCCTACTGAGGGGCTGGTCTCTCCTGGGACCTCAAGATAAAATTATACAGAGAAACAAATATTCAAGACTATACACTTAGCAAAGCACATTTGACCAACGCTGAGGTGTTCAGATTTAGGAGGAGTATGTAACACGCCATCATTGCTCAACAGTTTCATAAGATAACTGGGGATCAATTGAAAAGCTTACATGTTGACATGGATGACATGTGAGCGTGTGCATGTACTTTATTCCTTATCGTATTAAAACGTTTTGTGCGACCAATAGTATCGATGTGGTCTTGTTTATCAGGTAACACGCTTTAATGCAACCATGTTCAATAAGAGTAACAGCGAGCGATCTTCTGAAATAAGACACCGCATCACATGTCAGCATTATTAGTATGGTCCCTATGTATTTAAGCAATTGTGATCGTTAAAGACACATACGGATCTACAATGCATATGGTAATTGGTATCCAAATCTTACTTGCAGAGGAATGAATTCTTTGGTCGTGTGTACACATTGTGGAGAGAAACTTGAAAGGACTGAAAAGGACATCCATTCAGCTTGTAAACTGTAAGTATGTGTTGATTTACGTACAACGAAACATTCCAAGATGACTGATTCGTGGGTAGTTTCGGGTTGGGTTTTATCTTGTTTGATTGTTTGTTGTCTACCTCCGCACCCACCAATGATCCAATGTAAATAATCATGTCTGGGCCAGACAATCCAGTGATCAACAGGATCAGCACTGGTCCACGCAATTGGGTTACAATGACATGTGTCAAACAAGTCAGCGAGCTTGACCACCCGATCCCGTTAGTAGTCTCTGGCGACAAGCGTGGGTTGCTGAAGACCAATTCTAATCCGGATCTTCACGGGTATTCGAGCTAGGATGGGTTGACGATATCTCAGTGATTGTCATAAGATCCAGGGCCTCAAATGATTTTGCAAATGTTGTAGACTATTGTATAGAAACCTCACACAATAATTAATGGTTAAGATGCAACAGTCATCACTTATAAGCATCAGACAATCAACGTGAGTGAGTGAGTTTGGTTTTACGCCGCTTTTAGCAATATTCCAGCAATATCACGGCGGGGGACACCAGAAATGGGCTTAACACATTGTACCCATGTGGGGAATCGAAACCGGGTCTTCGGCGTGACGAGCGAACGCCTTAACCACTAGGCTACCCCACCGCCCCCAGACAATCAACGTATGGAAACCTCACACAATAATTAATGGTTAAGATGCAACAGTCATCACTTATAAGCATCAGACATTCAACGGGCAGATGAGTGTACGATGGATGAAGGCTGTCTCTGTCGAAATTAGAAGTGGCGTTGAGGTGTGGACTGTAACACTTGTGTTTGGGGGACAAACGTTATGAAACTTGTTTCCAGAGTTGGTCTGACGTTTTCATTAGATTCGGCGTTGAAATGAATGTTTGATCATAAACCGAATTAGAGTTAGAATAGGATTTACCGGTATCATTTTGACCCAAACAGCCTATAAATAAGGGTAAGATGGATGAACGCCATCTAAATTGAAATTGGAAGCGACGTTTAGGTGTTCGCTCTAACATCGAAGTGTTACGCACAGAGGCATATATACAAGTACGAGGAAGTGTTTATACACTTGAGCTGATATGGACGTGGTGACGGTAAAGTGGTGACGCCTCTTATGAATACAATACGGATGACATATAAGGTACAGAATTGCCTGATTAGTGAGTGTCAGTATTTTGAATTTAATACGTTCAGGAATATGAAGCCAGTGGAGAGATTGGAGAATGGGTGATGTGTCACAAGATGGTTTGCTTCTTGTTACAATACGGCCAACAATGTTCTGAAACTTTTGTAACTTGCTGATCAACTCGTTAGAAACTCCAAACAATAAACTGTTACCATCATACTCATCATGATTACATTAACGTTCGGTTGATGCAGCAATGGTGTTTTCAATGTTCCCACTACTTACAAATGTAAAACCTGACTCATCATGCCAATATTTACGCAGTGTTATATTATGAAAGAGTATTACTGTTGTGCGAGTTGATTCGATATGGACGTAATCTATCCAACAGTCAAAGCAGAACATATATGCATGTTCACAGTTTTGTACCAAGTGAATCTTTTCCTTCGTCGCGGGAGCGGTAGGTAGCCTAGTGGTTAAAGCGTTCTCTTGAGGCACCGAAGACCCGGGTTTGATTCCTCACATGGTTACAATGTGTAAAACCAATTTCTGGTGTCCTCGGCCATGGTATTGCTGGAATATTTTTAAAACTGCGTGCAACTAAACTCACCCACTCCGTCATAGTTATTTGACTGTCAGCAAACCCATTGATGTGACAAGCGCCGACAGAAATGGTGTCTGGCATCTGGAATGGTGTAAGCAAGTGAATCAACGGAAATTCAAGTGGAAAGTACCCATGAATATAATGAGTGAAATTTGTTGTGAGAGATCTGGTCACTGCTTTTCTGTCTGTTCTAGGCACATTGGCAGATGCAATGAAGCTGTTGAGTCATTCAGAGGTACAATGGCTACCAGCCCGAACATCCAGTTCATGGGAATTCATGTTCACTATCTGTATGGCATCGACAAGAAATTAAGTGACAAAGAGAAAATTGAGAAACGGGAGAAACGGAATTTGAAACTAACAGAACTCACAAAATATGTCTCAGCTCTAAGAAATTCTAATGGTGGTTACTTACTTGTTCAAATTGTAGGTTTAATCCCAAATGAAAATTATGTTGGTGCTTTCGACGAGTTTGCAGATGATACCCTGTACAGAATGATAGAAGACGGGAGAATGTTTGAAAGCGTGTATAAAAAAGAAAGGCTAAGCGAAGCCACTGGATGCGTTAAGTTCCATGATTTCATCAGTATTTATGTCGTAAAAGGCACAGAATTTTCAACAGCGGATTTCAACACCAAAATATGTCTAGACTGGGGAATTGTAAACCCTTTACCAACCACGGTGAAACGGTTTGTTGTCGAACGAAACGGTTCCAGTCACATTCCTCCTGAAGAACTTGATTTCAGGTTCAATTGTGATTTTGAAACCATTCCTCAGTTGCAAGAGAAACGTGATTTACAGCTAAAAGGCTTCATTGAAAACAAGCTCAAAGTTACCTGGAAGGTATTATCGGACTATAATAAAGCAAGAACGATATGGGATGACTTTCGACTGAAGGAGTATGTCAGTGCTTTTACCAAAAACTCGCGAGGTGGATCCTTCTTGCTTGGAATAGGGGAAAAGGAAAAAAGCACAGGTAAATACAAATCAAAAGATCTGCTTGTCCAAGGAGTGCCTCTTGAGGATGAAAATGCGTTCAGAGGCTACCTAAAAGAAGTAGCGCGTGACGAGAGCATGGTGTGTGATTTTGAAGGTGACACTGCTAACTGGGACATGATGAAGGTGAGATGCACTCTTGTCCCTCCCGAAAAGATGCAAGCACGTGCCACAAGAGCTCAGCACAGTATGAAGTACTACGTTGTCGAAATACTGGTTTACCCAATCAATGGAATTGCATTTTATGACAAAAGAGGCCCTCTATCATGCCGAATCGTCAACAACACATGTACCCCTGTTGGTGTAAAAACATGGTTCGAAAAGATTGCATTGACCAATAAAACTTCGTTCTGATGATTTTCACACTGTCAGGTGTCACTAAGAACAGAAGACATATAGAGATCAATACAGATTGACAGACAGACATCTTCGTGATGTACATACATGTTTTAAATATTCATCTTGAGAATAGTAGCTACTTGTGTATAGTATAAGTGCCTCCGAACAAAAATGTCAATACCGCGGCTTTCTTTCCGTTATCAAATGTTCGTTTTATGTGTCTCGTCCTTGGATTTAGTAGGTTTTACCGTGTATTACCATGTCAAAATGTCATGTAACAATAATTAAAAAATCATTTGATGTTCAAATTTATGTCCGGATTCAGTATATTTGAATATCTGGCCTTGGCAATCCTCGCCTATAACTCAATATGTAGTCGTATACCTATGCTATATATTCTTAAATGTGAAGATCCGGAATACAATTGATCTTCAGCAACCCATGCTTGTTGTAAGAGGCGCCTAACGGGGTTGGGTGGTCAGACTCGCTGACTTGGTTGACACATGTCATCGTATTCCAATTGCGTAGATCGATGCTCATGCTGTTGATCACTGGATTGTCTGGTCCAGGCTCGATTATTTACAGACCGCTGCCATATGGCTTGTCTATTTTGAATGCGGCGTAAAACAACAAACAATGCTTTGGCAATCTTTGTCTAATTAGTTTAAACGTGCATTCTTACACCGATGTTATATTTTCCGTCATGGATGTTATGAATGTCAGTATTCAGCATTTCACCACTATTACGCAAAGGCCACGGATACCTACAGTCATTGTTAACACAACCTTGCTGTTCGATTTGCTAGGGTTATTATCCTACTGGTTATTTACACTATTTGTAGCTAGTGAGTTTGGCTTCACACAGCTTTGGCAACACTGTTTCATTTGTACATGTATTAAGTCTTGTCAACTTTATGTGGAGTGAGTCAGGATGATTATACACCGCTTTTAGCAATATTCCTGTAGTATCACTGCGGGGAATCGACTTCAGTGTGATGATTTGACGCTTTAGCATCACCGCTCCGCTTCATGTGGAGGAAAGCTATGAATGACATAAAACTTGAAAATTACATGTATCGTAGTGTGCTTGCTCAGTGTGACATTCACAACGATGGACGTGGGTTCATGGTACTGCTAATTGTGGACAGTTACATGCATCGTAGGGTGCTTGCTCAGTGTGATATGCACAACGATGGACATGGGTTCATGGTACTGCTAATTGTGGACAGTTAGATGCCGAGAACCATCATGCCCCTTAGTAGTTATTGTTAGGTATATCTCATCTTTGTTCAAATATTTGCACATGATTCGTGTTTCTCTGTTGTGGAATGATCTGTGCATTAAATAGTTAGTGCTTTAAGCTTCGCATTGTAATAAAAGAAATTGAACTGGCAACGATGTGTTGGTTTTAATTTGCACTGTCACAATCGTATACTGTGTTTTACCCGTGCCAGGATCATCCATAAATACCTTATTTAAGACCTTTATTACACGTTATGTAATACCATCGGGAACGAGACTAGTTAGACTGCAGTAATTGTCTTCTCTACTTTAGATAGGCATTACTTCGTTTACAAATAGCCCAATGATATATGGACATTCCACAGGAATTTCGCATCAGCGTTATTATTGACGTGAATATGTCCAGGTAATAAGTCAGTGCTACTGCTTGTGGAATATCGTAGAAATCGTGGACGAATATCATCTATTCTCGGTCAGACCTGTATTTTGTATTGAGGGCCTTACGAAAAAATTATGTCTTTAGTCCGGGTTAGAATTGGAATCCATCAACCCATGACTGTCGTAAGAGCACCTGACGGGATCGGGTGGTCAGGCTCCTGACTTGGTTGACACATGTCACAGTATCGCATTGTCGTAGATCGATGCTGACGCCTTGGAGCAGGGGATGGCCTGCTCCAGACATGTAGCGGGAAGATTGCAAACAAACAAGACGGTGATTGATCAGAAAAGCAAACAGAACATGTAACTCGATTCCGGTAATGAATACCCTTCACTGTGTGAATATGAATGTTTTATATTCGTCCCTGATATATAGGATCTATATTGTGTAACGACCACACTGAAATATTGATGCACAGACATCCTCGTGAGGGTTTTCGAGACAATAGTGTTTCCTGGCATACAATCTGCTTGTAAATGACATCGGAACAATGGACCCCAACAAATAAGCATCCGTCTTAGCATTAAAAAAATGACAATTGACAAACCTTTTCCGACATAAACGTTTCCCATTTCAAGTAAACCAAGCACCATAATCCGAAATTGTCTTCACGAAGGACATTCAATGTAACTAGAGAATAGAGCGTGTTTCCTTTCAAAGGACCGCGACATACCAACCAAAACAGACAGTGCCATAACTTTCCACGAACAATATCATAACTTTTTCAGGTGATGAATGGTCATGCTAATACCGATATAATTAAATTATAATTTGATTATTTTATTTTCAGATGGCACTTTTTACTGGCAAAAAAGCTTAAACACATTGGTGAAAAACGAAAAGATGAAGAAGAGCAATTTGGCCAAGTCAAGTATGGACTATTGTATTCTCATCCCTCATCTTCAGTTGTTGGCGATCTTTAGCCTATTTTTATATTATGTATTGTCCAAATTGTGCTGTTAGTTTTAACTTCATATGCTAGTTTTAAATTCGAATTGTGATAGTCTAGTTGTTTTACTGTCCTTTGACGACGGGTTTTATAATATATACATATTCTTTATAATCAAATTTGTTCTCGTCACGATATGGCTGAAATATTGCTGATGTGACGTTAAATATTAAATCACTCACTCATTCACTCACTCACTCATCCCGCATCTTAACGAGCGCATAAGAAGTGTGGCGCCCATTTTTTGAACCAAACCACGAAGGCTGAACCACTTCCAACTTGTCTTTATTTTGCCAAACTGCAGTAATGCAATCTATGCTATATTTGGGATTACGCTTTCTCAGTACTAAGAAAGTGTAATCCCAAATACATGTGTTACATTTGACCACTTTCTAAATGGCATCCTTTGTGCATTTATTTTTCACCACGTTTAGGGGTACAACAGAGTATGCTGATCCTTTCACCA